TAGTAGTAGTAGTAGTAGTAGTAGTAGTAGTAGTAGTAGTAGTAGTAGTAGTAGTAGTAGTAGTAGTAGTAGTAGTAGTAGTAGTAGTAGTAGTAGTAGTAGTAGTAGTAGTAGTAGTAGTAGTAGTAGTAGTAGTAGTAGTAGTAGTAGTAGTAGTAGTAGTAGTAGTAGTAGTAGTAGTAGTAGTAGTAGTAGTAGTAGTAGTAGTAGTAGTAGTAGTAGTAGTAGTAGTAGTAGTAGTAGTAGTAGTAGTAGTAGTAGTAGTAGTAGTAGTAGTAGTAGTAGTAGTAGTAGTAGTAGTAGTAGTAGTAGTAGTAGTAGTAGTAGTAGTAGTAGTAGTAGTAGTAGTAGTAGTAGTAGTAGTAGTAGTAGTAGTAGTAGTAGTAGTAGTAGTAGTAGTAGTAGTAGTAGTAGTAGTAGTAGTAGTAGTAGTAGTAGTAGTAGTAGTAGTAGTAGTAGTAGTAGTAGTAGTAGTAGTAGTAGTAGTAGTAGTAGTAGTAGTAGTAGTAGTAGTAGTAGTAGTAGTAGTAGTAGTAGTAGTAGTAGTAGTAGTAGTAGTAGTAGTAGTAGTAGTAGTAGTAGTAGTAGTAGTAGTAGTAGTAGTAGTAGTAGTAGTAGTAGTAGTAGTAGTAGTAGTAGTAGTAGTAGTAGTAGTAGTAGTAGTAGTAGTAGTAGTAGTAGTAGTAGTAGTAGTAGTAGTAGTAGTAGTAGTAGTAGTAAGTAGTAGTAGTAGTAGTAGTAGTAGTAGTAGTAGTAGTAGTAGTAGTAGTAGTAGTAGTAGTAGTAGTAGTAGTAGTAGTAGTAGTAGTAGTAGTAGTAGTAGTAGTAGTAGTAGTAGTAGTAGTAGTAGTAGTAGTAGTAGTAGTAGGAGTAGTAGTAGTAGTAGTAGTAGTAGTAGTAGTAGTAGTAGTAGTAGTAGTAGTAGTAGTAGTAGTAGTAGTAGTAGTAGTAGTAGTAGTAGTAGTAGTAGTAGTAGTAGTAGTAGTAGTAGTAGTAGTAGTAGTAGTAGTAGTAGTAGTAGTAGTAGTAGTAGTAGTAGTAGTAGTAGTAGTAGTAGTAGTAGTAGTAGTAGTAGTAGTAGTAGTAGTAGTAGTAGTAGTAGTAGTAGTAGTAGTAGTAGTAGTAGTAGTAGTAGTAGTAGTAGTAGTAGTAGTAGTAGTAATAGTAGCAGTTGTAAAATTATTATTCCGTTATATGCTACTTATAAGGACAGATATAAGTAGTATATAACAAGAAATGAAATTGGAATGTTTATCTCTAAGAAATTGAAATATAGAGAAGAGGAAAGAAAACAGAAAGAAACTGAAATAACAACAAGAGTAGAAGAATGATTGATTATGTATAAGATAAATGAATGGAGATGTACAAATGATGTCTGGGATGTATGATTTTCATATTTTACAAAGCTATTGATTAGCGTTGCATGAAACAATAAAATGTTACTCCTCACCAGGTCTTTTTTTCACTATGGTAGTATTAGTAAATTGAGGTGTAAAACCTCTGTTTAATTTATAAACAGGAAAGGAAAGTCAATAATCATCAATAGAATTTTGGCAGAATCAGTATAACGACAGTTGAGATAATTTTTCAGTCTTTTTAGTAGATGAATGCTGAATATTGAAGTGGGATTTCCAGTTAGGATTTCATGAACAATCCCAACATTCACCGCATTTCTGGGTTTTTTTCGTTGAGTAATGCTACAGTGTACATGTTCATAATAGACACGTACGAGTAACTCTGGATGTTTAATTGAAGGTGTGAGGTTGTGAATCTTCATCGACTGAGATGGTTGGGCCACGTGTTACGTATGCCCGAACAACGATTACCACGACGTGCAATGTTAACCGGTGTTCGGGATAGTTGGAAGAGAGTTAGGAGTGGCCAAACCAAAACATGGCATCAGTCCACAAAGTCACTAACTTCTAGTCTGAGCCATGTTGTTAGATGCAGACTACTTGGTTGGAGTCCGCGTGACTATCGTAACCAATGGTTGGAGACTCTTGGTGATATGGCACAGAATCGATCACAATGGCGTCGGTGTATACACTCTCTTTATTCCCTTAAACTAAGAGATTAAAATCGCTTCATAACTTTCTTTCTACCAACTAATTCTTTCTTCCTATACTATATCCTTATATGCAATCTTTCTTTTACACATTACCACCTCTGAATTAACTACTTCTATGAATCCGGTGTCCATCTTGTTGTGCTAACGAGGTATGGCAACTTGGACCGATGCATTTATGTGCCTGGTCCTGCGTTGTAGCTGACTGACTGACTGACCACCGAAAATCACACTTCGAAGTTCATCACTCACTTTTTAAATGAACAGGAAATTTTTTGGAAAAATTGGATAAACACACTTATTGAATACTGAATACACTGGAGATACGCTAAGTCATTTACAGTCTTCTAAAACTGTACAATTATGTAACTCTGATTTAAAGATGACAGAAATATTAATTAAACCTTGTTTTCAAAACGAGTTTGATCAAGGGGAAGTAAAGGGTATTTAGATGTACACGAGTGACGTTGAGATTCTAGAGACTTCATGATGTATACATAGAAGTTTACTCTTCAAGGGATTATGAGAAACATCATCGTTTTACATTCACGACCTCATGAAGGGAAAGAATTCAGAATCTGTAGATCTTACGACGAGGATTTCAACTATTGAGTAAGCAAACAATAGCATCCATATATAATATCAATCGATTCGTCATATTGCGTAACTATCTGTATTTGTTTTAAGAATAGTTAGTTAGGCATCTATTTCTACACTTTATTACGTTAAATAATCATTGGAGAATGTTTGCATTTCAAGGACATATATATAAGATTCGTTATTTCTATATTATCACAATACTTGAATTCATCAGTCGATTTAAGTTAAACCACCATAGAAAACCTGAAAGCAATGGACGGTCATTTCGTCCTAGCATGGGACTCTTCAGAAGTGCGCATCCACGATCTCATTCCAAAGAGACTCGACCCTACGACACCCGGTCTCACGCATGAACGCTTTACCTCTAGAGCACTGAGCCGGCGTCCAACGGTACTAATGTCTAACTTCAACTAATCCACGATATTGCACCACTATCCACCACTGTCTTCAGTGAGTAACTGCCTCATAACAGACACGGTTTGACTCCACTTATCACGGCTCTGTAATGTTGCGGATTGCCTCGATATTGCAGGTACATCCACTTGACGAGTCCCATATAGGGCGAAACGTGCGTCATGGATTCCACTGCTAGCCATCATCCATCTTTGCTTATAATGCTTGTGGATTAACGCGATATCGAAACGATCCGTACAGGATGTACATATACCGATAGAGGATGATTAATTGCAGTCATAAACATCAATGGGAAGATTCAAACAAGCAATACAAAAACAAATTAAAACTTCACTCAATTGTACAAGCTAGTGGCGATCTGAAAGACAGCTAAGTGGATAACATAATGGTGTTTGAAGTGAACGGTACTGGATTTGAGGTCCGGAGTGAATATAAACTCCTTGATGCAGGTACATCTAGTTGGTGAATCCGAAATAGAACGAAACGCGCGTTCTGGATCCCATTGCCAGCTACTGCCATTCTTTGCTTACAATACATCAAGCAAGGTTTCCAGTTGATCATCTTCAACCACTGAATACACTATTTCAGTTACAAAGTAGCACTCAATATGGATCAACTTAAATTTTAACCTAATTATCAGAGATTTATTGGCGATTATTATACAATACTATCTAATTAATTAATCCAAAGAATTCTGCATATATTTTCCTGGATTAGTAGGAAAACAGAAATAACTTGGTACCTGTTGTGGATTGAAAAATTAATCAATAAAGACCTTTTTGTGCAACCGTTCATCCATTGTCTCAGGTAGATACCTATCTCTACTCAACACGGATCAAACTCTACTAGTAACAGCTTCTCACTAGAACTCCAAGAAATCCATCTTGAAGCCAGTCACTAGTTAGTACATTATTATTATTATTAAAATAGGGGTTTTGTGGTAATTGTAATAGTTAAATTCATGAGTCGATCTAAGCTAGGCTACTATTGAAACCTTGAAGCACTAGACGATCGTCTTGTCCTAGTATGGGACATTAACACCATCAGATACCGGATCAATGATCTAGATGTTAGGTGCTCGCATGCGAGACCGATGGTCCCCCATGCAGGATATTAGGTACGCACTGATGAGGAGTTCTGTACTAGAACGAAACGTTCTTCCAATGACTCCAAGTCTATAATGATGGCCTATTTTAAATCGACTCGTGTATTCGACTATTACAACTACTACAATCTCGACAAAACCACCATTGTAATAAAGAAGATATCATGAGTACTTTGTATTGATCCCATAACAACAGTCATTTAAAAAGAAATACAAGAAAACAGTCTCATCAATTTCATGCATTTATCAACAATAACTCATACAAAAGGAATAATCAGTTATTAAACAAACATACAGAATACATCTAGACAAAGATTTTCTTCCGTCTATATCAAAACATTCAAAACAAAAAAAGAACAAACAAATCAATAACAAACATTATTGAGACCATGGATCGATTGGTGTTAGACTACCATTGAAAACCTGGAAGCATAAGACGACTGCTTCGTCCTATTGTGGGAATCCATAGAAGTGCACATCCACGATCCCGCCCAATGGATTCGAACACAGAGCGCGAACGCTTTATCGCTAGGCCACTGAGCCAGCATCCAACTGTGTTAATGTCTAACCCCAACTAACCCACGAAATCGCACGATCATCTTCCATTGTACTAAGATAGATAGCTGTCTCTATCCGACACGGATTAGCTCCACTGATTACGGTTTCTCACTAGAACTCCGACAATTCCCTCACTAGTGAAAACATAGTCTAATGCTTTCAGGTTTTCATTGATGGTCTAACATCAATCGTTTCATAATCTCCACAACTCTATACTGATAACAACCTCTATATCATGTAACAAACGAACTCACTTACCGAACATAAATAATGATTCGAATCAGTTAATTTATTCAAATTGATTACATCATCATATGAATTATTGATTGAATATTGACGTATATTTAAATATTTTTTTGATTTATGAACATGTTTAAGGAAATTAAATCCATCATTTAATCGATTATGATTAATAGTACCATTATTATTACTACTGTTACTATGGTTACTAATATGATGCATATGATTTCGTACATGTATAATAGGTGATTGGCAATGAATTGATTTAGAATATCGATTTTTTAAATTTGAATTTTCAAACGATTCCTTACTCATATTATTACTATTATTATTAGTAGTAGTGGTAATAATAGTGGTAGTAGTAGTCGTAGTAGTAGTGGTGGTAGTATTGGTAGTACAATTATTGACCGATGAAACACTTGCGCCGTAATTCTGCATTGAACGCAATTTGGATGGGATTGAATAGGTATCTATAGAAGTATCCAATTTCGATGTAGTCTGTTTTAAGAATTGATGATTTCTTCTATCATTTGTAACATTTAATATATCGAATAATTTATTATGAGATAGATAAACATTGTTATATTTAGATTTGTTATGTTTATATGGTTTATCAATCAGATAATAATGAGTAGTAGTATTATTAGTAGTATTGTATAGATCATATGAATGTTTAGTATGATAATTGTAATCTCTTTCAGATGAGATACTGTTTGATTGTTGTAGAGATGGTTGTGGTGGTGGTGCTTTGCTTCTTGGAGATACATGTCTTAAAGACATGATCGGCATATATAGATAGACTTCAGTATGTATGTATATATACAAATATTTATTGAAATCAGTAGTATGTTACTCAATGTTGAAATGAGCAGGTTGATTTCATCGGATTCGAACGATATATAAGGAGAGAAAGGGTAAAAAACATGGATATGGATACATCATTGTATCTAAGCTACTACTTTTTACAAAGTAATTTATTACTTTGAATGAATGAATGAATCGAAAGAAGAAAAAACAACAACAAACAAAATTGAACTTTGAACAACTTTCTAATCAAAATTCATGTCACTATTTTGCATAAAATTGATTCTAGTTTAAATAATGATGAGTATGATCAAACCAATAGAAAGCATTCATCTATTCATAGATATAAAAATAGATAAACACACTCACCCTAGTAAATTTAGTTGTCAATGGTGCATTATTAGTTCATAGGACTCGTTTATTTGTTTATTTGTTTCTATTTGCGATTGTTTGTTTGTTTGTTTGTTTACTCAATAATAGATTTATTTGTATAGGTGTATTGTATAGATAGATCCCTAATCATATTATGTTATCTAAAGATTGTACTGAATGAAGTGAATCGGTGCAATAGACAATGGTGTTTAAGTTTTTCTTTTTGTGTGTGTTATCTTCACTTTCGATTCAATTAATTAATAATAAGTTATAAGATATTGAAAACCTCGAGCAATCCATGGAATTTGGGGGACCATTTTTCATCGCATTGACATAGATACCTGTCTTCATAACCATATACTGATAATTACTATGTGCTCATAAGTGAATAGCTTTGTCAGAAAATTCTCGGAGTTCTAGTGAAAAACCGTGATCAGTGGAGCTAATCCGTGTCGAGTAGAGACAGGTATCTACCTGTGGATTCGTTGAGGTTAGACATTAACACGGTTGGATGCTGGCTCAGTGGCCTAGAGATTAAGCGTTCGCTCGTGAGATTGAAGGCCCTGTGTTCGAATCTCTTAAGCGTGATCGTGAATGCGCATCGCTGAAGAGAGCCGTGAAAGGACGAAACGGCCGTCCATCACTTCCAAGTTTTCAATGGTAGTCTAACATAAATCGGTTGTGTGTTATCTTCACTTTCGACTCAAATACTTATTAAGAAGGGAGAAACTATAATTTATGAATGAACCAATCAGATATAAGATAGCAGATCTCAGATTTTGCCGCGGAATTCATTCATTCGGATAAATAGAGTTTTTATATTATAGCTGATGTCAATTCGTAATGAAAACCCGAAATCTAATTTCTAACCCTAACCATCAACTGTAAATCATATTTCTATTTCTTCACGCAGGTTTATAACCTTCATTTGGTCCTAGTTATTAGATGGACAGTCTCAAGGTCAGTCTGGTGTCGCCCAGAGGTCGTCCTTAAATTATAGTCTCACCAATAATTAGTTATAAGAGAGCGAACATCCAAATGCAGAAACTACTATACAACAAACAAGTTGAATATAAGAGTTTCATTAGTCTATTTCATGCAATGACCTATTTGTTAGACAACTGTTGATAACTAGGAAGTAGTGGATAACTGTTTCGTTCTAGGCATGTAGTTGCTTATTAGCGCGGGTCTATGACATCACGGGACTGTCAGTCTCGACGCGATTGCTTAAACTCTAGATCTATGATTCGAGATTGAATAGTGAGCGCAATTATCTCTTATTTCCCATAGTGAATAAATGTCTTACACCCCATACATGTGTAAGGCGTTAGGTGTCAAGCGAGTAGTCAAGTACTTTTTCTCATCCCAACAAAAATCATTAGTTCCATTTTGTCTGACTATGAAGAATTCCTAAAGTTTTAATGAGAAGTTGTAACTGAGTAGGTCTAAAGATTTTCTGAATGAAATAGTACTCACTCAAAACAATCGATGACGGTAGCACGATGCCATGAATTCATTTAAAGTTGAAAATATGAGACAATAGACTTTAACTAAATAATCTTCAAGTAACTGATCATGATCAATACCCTCTTACCCTTAAAGGGTGACAAATATGCGCATTGTCGAATATTCCATTACGAAAACAAAAGATAATACTAGGTGACTGAAGTGATTAGACCTAACTTTCCTGCTAGTTAACACTCGTCTGCAACGAATTCGTCTGGGAATAGTAAATTTCAAATACTTCAGTTTTATATGAGGTCACTCGTGGTCCAGAACTCAAACTGAGAGCTGGATGACCCTTATTTGAATTCCACAATATGTGAGTTATATTGTTGGGCACTAACTTGTAGTAAAATTAAGATTATCAGCGTTTCCTATCAACTATCTTTCAACCACCCAACATTTAAACATAAAGCATGCGATATTCAGTCATTTAGATTATTGGCTACATTTCACCGTGATGAAATGAATTTGATCGACACTAGACAAATATGATTCTCGACTCTAGTCAGTAGTCAGTCAATGGTCAGTTCAATGACTGTTTGCCTGGAGTTAGTTCATGATTTTAACAATCTTTACGTCGAATTGAAACCATACAATACTTACTTGCTTACGCCTGTTAATCCCTATGGATTATAGGCCTCCGACCAGTATTCTCCAACCCAAACTGTCCTCGGCCTTCCTTTCCAGTTCTATCCAATTATTGTACACTTTTCTCACGTCTGCCTCCATTTCTCGACGCAATGTGTTCTTTGGTCTTCCTCTTCTCTTTTGACCTTGAGAATTCCAAGTGATGAGGGCTCGCCTTGTGACACAGTTGGGTGCTTTCCTCAATGACTGTCTTATTCACTTCCACCGCTTCTTCCTGATTTCTTCCTCCACTGGGATCTGGTTTGTTCTCTCCCACAGTAAGTTGTTGCTATTAGTGTCCGGACAATGGATCCAAAGTATATTGCGTAGACAACTTTTAATAAACACCTGTATCTTCTGGATGATGGCTTTCGTAAGACTCCAGGTTTCCGTCCAAAACACTAGAACTGTCTTGATATTCATATTGAAAATCCTGACCTTAGTGTTGGTTGACAGATGGTTGTTTTGAGTTCCAGATGTTCTTCAGCTGTAGATATGCTGTTCTTCCTTTTCCGATCTGCGCCTTCACATCTGCATCAGACCCACCATGTTCATCAATGATGCTACCCAAATATGTAAAAGTTTTTACATCTTCCAAATCCTCTCCGTCAATTGTGACTGGATTGTTGCATGCTGTGTTGTAACGGAGAATTTTGTTTTTCCCTTTGTGTATGTTGAGACCTACTACTGCTGAGGCTGCTGCTATACTGGTCATCTTTGCCTGCATTTGTTGTTGCGTTTGCGATAGAACAGCCAGATCATCTGTGAAGTCTAGATCGTCCAGCTGCGTCCTAGTTGTCCACTGTATCTAATATCTCCTTCCAGATGTTGGGCGTCGTGGCGTCAGCCTGTAATCTAGCTACTTGAAGTCCAGGGTGCGGAATTTCGTGAGATCGAAAGTTCTAACGTATGGGTCGAGTCTCCATGCTAAGCATGACACCGATACGGATGACCTGTCGGAGGGCAAGCTGAAATCATACAATACATTGAATTGAATAAAATACCTTTTATCAAAATATTTTAATGATCGATAAAGTAAGTGTACCTACTGACGAAATGATTATGATTATGAAATAACAAAACCACTAAACAATATAAACTTATTCACATTAGATTTAGTACAAATTGTTGATCAAAGGGACAAATAAAATTCTTATTTATGTACCAGCATTTCACAGCATGAAAGAAATTTTATACATTTTTTTTTCTTTGTAAATTTATACATCATTAGTTATTCTAGATAGTCCCCTAGTTCTAATAGGCTTATTGAGGATAAAAGTGAATAAAAATAAATCAGGTTTGGTTTCTTCAAACAACAATAATTGATTTTATGATTCAACTCTTAATCCAGTTCTCAGATGATATTGTTATAAGAAGAAAAGGAGGAGGATTGAATACTTCCAGGAATGGCTTCAACGCTATGCTTCTATTTCAAGAAATCATCTACTTATACAGATAAATCGATTAAATTCAAGCTGAAACAAAGATGGATGGTTTCAAGCAGTGGAATCCAGTTGAAGTCACGTTTCGTCCTATTTGGGACTCGTCAGCTGGATGTAACTGCATCCCAGAATTGATGTTCTTTCCGGAACTCGAACTCAGTACCATTAGCTTCAAATGCCATTTAGCTACTGAGTCTTGATAGCCACCTATTTGTGCAATGGGGTGAAGTCTAAATTCACTTGGTGTTGTTTTATTTGTATCTTCCTATTGTTAGTTAGGACTACAATTGATCATGGTGTATGTGCATCCTGTGTAGATTGCCTAAGTAGGGCAAAACGCGAGTCAAACTAGATTCCTCTGCTAGCCATTATGCATCTATGCTTAAAAAAGCCTGTGACTTCAGTCTATATCAAGCCAATCTGAACAGGAAGCACATATGCCATAAGAGACCGATCAATTGCAGTCCTAAATAACAATTGGAAGATACATGTAAAACAACACCAAGTGAATTCAAGCTGAAACAGTTTGAATTATTTAATTGTTGATATTTTTGACTGAAATTTAATCAGTCTTGGTTGACATATGTGCATTTTTTATGGATTGTCTTGATACAGACCGGATATAGTCTTGGAGGGGACATCAACTGTGAGATGCAGGTACATCTAGCTGATGATTCCCAAGTAGGACGAAAATAATATCCTGTATTCAACTGTTAGACTCGCTCCATCTATGCTCTATAAACACAAGTGAAGTAAAGGTAGAAGGCGAACAAATTTAGAGATCGATTTCATGCCATACACATTATCACTTATTGCCTAAACTCTCTCTTAACGCTTGTTTATTTATCGATTGTGTTTATATTGGTTAATAGCAATAAATTAATCAGTTTATAAATGATTATCTAATAATTCATATTGAGAAATAAAGCTGCTTAAGTTTTGATTTGGGCTCTTTATTTTGACTCCAATTAGATCAGACAATGTTATCTACGGTCTTACCCCTTAGATCATATGTTGATCACTAATCAA